TCTGGTCTCTCTCTCTCTGTTGTCTCTCTCTCTCTGGTCTCTCTATCTGGTCTCTCTATCTGGTCTCTCTCTGGTCTCTCTCTCTGGTCCTTCTCTCTGACCTCTCTCTGGTCTCTCTCTCTGTTGTCTCTCTATGGCCTCTCTCTCTCTCTCTGGTCTCTCTGGTCCCTCTATTTCTCTCTGGTCTCTCTATCTGGTCTCTCTCTGACCTCTCTCTCTGGTCTCTCTCTCTCTGTCAGTCTCTCTCTCCAATACGACCTAAGACTGACAAAGGTCCCATGTCAAACAGGGAAAGTCCACACGAGCGTGTATTCAGCAGCGTGGAATGGTCCAGGGTGACTTTTGTCCTGGGGTTGTAAATATGCTCGGGTTAACCGCAAGAATCTGGCTCTGCGATTTAAGTGCGTGGCCCATATGTGGAGTCGTTTAAAACACGGTGACAAAAACTACTACAAAAACTTGAACATGTGAAATTGAATGCGAGAAAAGTTTATTGGTATAGCACAGAACAGTATAACTCAAAATGCTTCACCAGCCATGTATCTGGGAGGTATTCAAAGAGAGGCTGAAACTCCACGACCATTTCCCCCAACTAGAAACCTAGGGTACGTTTTTATTTTAATTTATGTATTATTATCTATTTTTTACTTTGGGTTATTTAGTGCACAAGGGACACGCAGGGAAAAAGGCAAAAAAGTATGTATGAAATTAGAGAAAATACAGTATGTTGTGTACATGATGTGACGAACAAAACATATGTATGTGATCGACACAATACAAAAAAATATTTAAAAAAGAAATACAAAGGCATTAAAATCATTAATATTCACAGTGCATTAAAACAAGAGTGACGATAAAATCCTTCTGTTGTCTGCAGCTAAATAGACCTGTTTTTAACCTGGATTCGTACATTGTCAGTGTAAAAGCCTGTCTCACATTTTCACGAAGATAGTTCCAGATTTTAGCTGCGTTAATCTGAAATGCTGCCTCCCCATGTTTAGTCCTGACTCTGGGCATCAGCAAGAGGCCAGTCCCTGTGCTCCCCAGAGTCTCAGCAGGAGGCCAGTACCTGTGCTCCTCAGAGTCCCAGCAGGAGGTCAGTCCCTGTGCTCCTCAGAGTCCCAGCAGGAGGCCAGTCCCAGTGCTCCTCAGAGTCCCAGCAGGAGGCCAGTCCCTGTGCTCCTCAGAGTCCCAGCAGGAGGCCAGTCCCTGTGCTTCTCAGAGTCCCTGCAGGAGGCCAGTCCCTGTGCTCCTCAGAGTCCCAGCAGGAGGTCAGTCCCTGTGCTCCTCAGAGTCCCAGCAGGAGGCCAGTCCCTGTGCTCCTCAGAGTCCCAGCAGGAGGTCAGTCCCTGTGCTTCTCAGAGTCCCCGCAGGAGGCCAGTCCCTGTGCTCCCCAGAGTACCAGCAGGAGGCCAGTCTCTGTGATCCCCAGAGTCCCAGCAGACCAGTCCCTGTGCTCCTCCGATTCCCAGTTGGTTCACGACACTCACATTTCTCAGATGTACTTTTTAGTTTTCTTTTTACAGTATGTCTCAAGATTCCTATGTTTTTTTTTTATTGCTCTAAAAATTTACGTTCAAGATTTAACACTGTGTCAATTACAGCGACACGTCGAGCTCGTTTGAACTTTGAGTGTGTTTAAATTACAGTTCAGGCTGTGTCATGCCGAGTGATGACAGCTAAAATCATATTTTTCCAACACAAACCCGTACAGTACAGTCTCAGATGTACCCAGGGCTGTGGTCGTGTGTAAATGTCATTCTACTGAAGCAAAATGAGAA